AATGATACAACCGTGATGAAAAAGAACGTGTTCATCAGACTACTATTCAAAAGCGATGAATAGGGTTCACAAAATAATCGCCGACTGAACGCATGCATCGCACTAACTTATTCAGCTGCAAAGTTAACAGTTGTCTATGACACGATGAACATGATCAGAGAAACTAATTTAGATGTGAGACCTCCTCATGTTACCTCCAATTGTATTTATTTATTCATCAGTACTTAGAGTAGCATGTATGTCGGAAGAACGGAGAGGGTCCTTACTAAACGAATCTCTGAACATGAACTGAAAAGCCTGTCATTGAGAGGTGGAAGGCTACCAACCAGCGCCATTGACAAGCACATTCTCGATACAGATCATGCAATCGGTTCAAACATAGCTTTTAAGGTAATCAATCGACAAAGAAATAATATATTCCTACGTTATTCAGAAGCAGGAGCAATCCGTCGACTGGAGCCAGATTTATTTGTAGAAGTTTGTGGTTTATCTTGCATTGCCTTGGTGCGTTGTTCTTTTCTTACACCTTTATTGACCATCTTATTGTCTTACATATTGTTCTCAAACATTATCCATACTCACATCATTTTTGATTTACTCTAACGCATTATATTTTTATCTTGTTTGTTAGCGCATCCATTCCCATTCCTCTATTAATTCATATACTTTGCATACTATCTTTGTTGTTCTCCACCTTCCACTAGAATTCCTACTATCTTGGGCTGTAATCACATCCCTGTACTACCACCACGTTGTATGTTGCTTTGTGTTTACTGATCAATTTTAAAGTCTGACTTGTTCACTGTATTGATTGTTTAGATCGTGAACTTTGTCATTCGTCTACTTTCCCATATATATGTATTGATGTTTAGGTTTAAAAGATGTATTTGGGGTTGTTTTCCATTAAAATGTATCAAATAACTTATGCTGAAGACTGATAGCTTACTGTACACAAATTTAAATTTAGTGGGTATGTGGAAGATTTGAAGCACACGAAATGAATCCGATTCATCCCACAATATGAAACAACTGAGATTCTTTTTATCTAGATGTTACTACATCCAACATTAATTTGTAAGAATTTCTAAATGCCCAAGTCGTAGAATGTTACAGTTTCAAGTGAAACAAATACTGACAGAATAAATACCATCTAAATAAGTGACAGAAATCTGCGGCACAACACAACAAAACCCTTTTCTCTTCAACCTACAAGATTCAGAATAACAATACAAACTCTGTTTGAAAACTTTCTAATAATGCTGAAGAGATGGCAGCTGGCTACTTTTTTAGAACCATACTTGATATACTAATTTTTAATCCATACACGGTGTAGGGCTAAATCACGAGTAACATGAACTGATTCAGAAACGTTCAAATCTGTAAAGACGACCAAGTGTACCGAACAAGTATCAATCAAAAGGTGGGAAAGTAATAAAAAGGTTCTAGACATCTGAAGTTATACACGCTGACCTTCTACAACTGTGACAGACCATAAAACAAGAGACATTAAGCGAAGAGTCACTCTTTCCAGTAACATCATTCTCAAGCTGCACAATCGCATATAAATGTTCTATTCATATGGCAACAGAAAAGGAATGTTTCATGTTACCCTACGAATAGATACAATAGAATATTTATTGTAATTGTACAGCTTGAGAATGATATCCCTGAAAAGAGTGACTTTTAGCTAAACGTCCTGTTTCAAATTATAGAACCTTCACTCCTGAAACGAATTTTCATTACCAATTCAAATCAGTTTCAGAATAATCGAAAACCTGGGGGCGCTGGACAGATATTTCATCCTACGAATCATCATCACTATCAACATTGCACCAGGCATTGCTGCATAACGGTCCGAGTTGCCACACCTGATATCGGTATATCAAGTAAAAAGAAAGTGAAGTGGAAGATGAAGAAAAGAAAATCCTGTCAAAAGAAATATAAAGTACGAAAAGAGAGAAAAGAAGAATGAGATGGTGAGATTCGGTATAGTGTCGTTAAGATGAGGATAATGTATGTATACATCTGCACCACTGACATCGGTTCTTAGCCATATCACCTAGAGTCAAGTCAAAGACTTTATACACTGATGCCATGTTTTAGTCTGGCCACCTCAAGCCTCTTCCCAGCCTGGACCTACTTCAGCCAACATTTTGTGAGGAGGCGATCGGCGACTAGGCATACGTAACATGTGTCCCAACCATCTCAATCGATGAAGGTTCACAACCTCGTCAACTGACTTACCTCCTCTCCCTAAAACGCTATACCTGACTTCTGCGTTACTCACGTGGTGACACCACGGAATACGGTCTATACTACGAAGGCAACGGTGGTCAAACACCTGCAGCCAGCCTTCTCATGTCTTCCACCGTCAATGATCATGTTTCACAGCCATACAGTAGAACAGACTGGACTGTTGTGCAGTATATGCTATCCTTAATAGACAATCGGATATCATGGCGGCACTACAGGTGGTGTAAGCTGGCGAAAGCCAATTGTGGCCTTTGTATCCGTGCAGAGATTTCACCGGCCACTGGGCCATCAGGGCAGGGCTGATCCTACTTCCCAGGAGAGTGAAGTGGTCAACATACTCAACCAATACACTCTCTATTGTTAGCCGTGGCACTGTTGGAAACCAATCCTGGAGCAAAAATTTGCATTTGGGTGGTGAGAAACGCATCATCAACATCCTCAAATTGCCACTCAGTGTCCAGAGAACTCAGCATCTTCACCTAACATATATATATATATATATATATATCATCTTGAAATGATGGAGACATCCATGCTCAAATGAACACTCAAGAACAGAAAATAATAATAAAAAGACTGACAAAGGACGCACTACAGTAATCATGGACAAAGAAGCCAGAGGAATTACTCAACGATAAAAATTTGTATCAACCACTTGAAATCAACCCTATCCAAAAGTTCGACAACCAGATCAATAAAACCTTGAACAAACTCTTCAAAGCAGAAGAAATAACAAAGCAAGACAAATGGTGTACGAAATCGAATGGACCTATCGTTCCTCGATTCTACGGCAGACCAAAACTACACAAACCACACATCCCTCTACGACCAATAGTCTCACTTCCGGAAACTCCAACATACAACATATCAAGAGAACTTTCGAGAAAACTGAAACACCTCGTCCAATCATGCGGACATTCCATCAAGTCACCAACAGAATTCATAGAAAAGATCAAAAATATTAACATAGAAAACGATGAGTTAATGATATCCTTCGATGTTACAGCACTATACACATCCATCGAACCTCAATTGGCCAAGGAAATGATATCCCTCCTGATCAATGAAGACAAAAACCTTTCAGAACGCACAAAACTCAAATGTTCAAGTCTGATGGAACTCATCGACCTTTGCATGACAACGTACTTCCAATTCAACGACAAGATATACAAACAGATGAAAGGAACTCCAATGGGATCACCGATACCCGGATTAATAGTAGGAGCAGTGATACAGAGACTGGAAGCCATTATTCTACCTGTGATCAAACCAAAAATTTGGATTCGCTATGTGGACGACACTTTTGTCATCATCAAAAAGGATGATATAGAAAACACCCACAGTTTGATCAACAACCTTTTCGATGACATCAAATTCACAATGGAGAAAGAGTCAAACAACCAACTACCATTCCTGGATGTTTTAGTCAGTAGGACAAATGTCCGAAAGCTGGAAACCCAAGTATACAGGAAGCCAACACACACTGATCAAATCCTTAACTACAACCCAACAACACACAAAATCAGTTGAGTGCAGACTCTATTCAAAAGAGCGAGAACACACTGCAGTACAACAACTTCATGGAGAAATGAAGAAAATCACCTAATATCTATCCTAAAGAAGAACGGCTACCCACGAAACTTCATCAGAAGATGCCTATCCCGTGCATCACCAACTACAAAGTTATCGACAGAAATCAACAAACGCATTGTCCTACCATACATAAAGAATGTATCAGAAATCACAACAAGATTGCTGAGACCACTTGGAATTGGTGTAGTTCATAAACCAACAAATTCCCTCCAAACACTATTATGTAGACCAAAGGATGCAACAAGCAAAGAAGACAAACCCAATATCATTTACAAAATCAACTTCAATAACTGTAGTCAACACTACATTGGACAAAGCGGCCGCCCTCTTCGCCTTCGTCTACATAAGCACCAATTGGCTATTAAACGCCACGACATTTCGTCACTCATTTCAATGCACGTGGATAATTATGGACATGAATTCAATTTCGACAATGTAGAAATTTTGGACAGAGGAAACACAAAGAATGTCAGAGAATTTCTAGAAGCTTGGCATTCAGGCCAGTCAGCAATCAACAGATGTATAGACACAGACCCAATCTACCAACCAGTAAGAAAAATGATAAACGACAGAAAGGTCAGAGGTGAAGCAGGGGGACGGCCAACAGGAAAGTCTATACAATCAATGACACAACAATCGAAGGAAACAACCAATCAAAGACCAGATCGACAGAGCAAGCTACTAAATCACTCACGGAGAGATATTGACAGCTCACTTCATACTGAAGTTAGTGCTGATGATGTCGTCTAGCAAGGCGATGAAAGCTTTACGATTAAACAACCCAGCTCAGAGAACACAATACAACCAAGACTATATCATCCGCATATTCTAGGTCTAACGAAAATTCTCCTGTGATTAGGTCAACCTCTGTGTAATCAGGTAACGAGAGGGAGAATATCCATGATAAAATTGAATAAGAATGGAGAGAGTGGACAGCCTTGACGGACACCACTCGATGAACATAGCTCCCTGGACATCTCACTATGGAGCTATGCTCATCGAGTGGTGTCCGTCAAGGCTGCCCACTCTCTCCATTCTTGTTCAATTTCCAAGGTGTTTCTAAGGTTTCAATGGTTCTTCAACTGGCGATAGTCGGTGATAATTATTTTGAAATTATTTATCATAACTTACTCAAATTCAGTTGATCAATACATACCACTTTCTAATTCATTTTTATTGGAATACAGCATTGGTGAACAGCTATACTAAGTATACAATGCAACAGTTATTGAATAAGTATACAATGTGATTGTAAAGTGAGAGAAAATGGAGCAATATATCAATCGATTACGGAAAAAAAAATAGTTGTGCTTATAGTACAAATGGAAAATTAGAGAGAGATAGTTATGACACGGAAGTCCAACAGATTAACTAAAACAAACAGATGGATAGATGAGCAATGACTAGAAAAAGCCTAGTGGTGTGACAAGAGTAGATGAGTGAGCACAAAGATGTACAAAACAACACGTGTACATATGAAACAATTAATAAAATATTTACACAAAACACTAATTATATAACAGGCATGAGCATTATTTTAACTTATCACAGTCTGTGTACAAATAATAAGAACTTTTTTTTAAAAAAATTGGAAGGTTTTACGAATATAAAACAACTGATAACAAAAATTCAAATGATATTTAATAATTCCTCCTAATTAAAAAAAACATTAGCAGAAAGCACAGCCTTTCACAAGCGCAACAACATAAATAGAAATACTGTAATACTTAAAGTAACAATCATGAACGTAAGTAAAAAACATAAAAATTTAATCATCAATAATCTGTACACATAATGAATGAGAAAGAATTGAAGTGAAATAAAACTCTGGTCAACAGTCAGACCTCATAGCTCAGTTGGTAGAGCACTGGGCCGGTAACCCGGTGGTCGCTGGTTCGAATCCGGTCGAGGTCCAGATTTTCACCTCACCTTCAATCATCATCCAGTACAAATCACTATCTAATTAACTGAGTACACACACACAAGAAACATCGATCTATTAGGCATAATTACATCTAGGCACACAGGTATGTATGTATAAATAAAATGGCAGTGAGAACAAAAGTCTAAAAGGCACTAAAAGATATAAACGAAACAGCAAAACGCCTATATGCATATACATCCTGATTTCATTGGAACACAAAGAATAATATAGCGAAATGTTCAGTGTAAAAATAGGCAGAAGTGTAAGTCAATTAACAACTTTAAAATCCCCAAAATGATAAATATTTTTTTAAATGCTGAAAAAGGGAATGGTGTATATGAAACAATCTAGTGACAGATAGTGAACGGTTATTAGTGTATAAATAAAAAGTTGAAGAATAGTAACACCTACAACGAGTTTTTACACATCAAATAGGTTTTTTTTCAATCCCAGAAAATTATGATTTTGAACATTAGGTGAACGCCACTGAAGAACTGTGAATAGGTCAGTAAAGGGAAAAGGGATTGATGATTAGCTATAAAACAATAATATGCAGAAAAAGACATAAACACAAGATTACAACTCCTTCGCTCAAGGCAAACGTACTATTTCACTTTGAAAGGAAACAACATTATAAGCCAATTATATTCAGGGAAGATATGTAAGTTAACAATATTTTTTTTCAATTAGATGTCATCAGGCTTAACTATAATATACATAACCAATCAAGGTAATTTGTTGGACAACGACAATCAGGAATAGGAATTATAAAAAGGCTAATAGGAATGTTCATAATGATACGACAATGTAAAAAAGGTGTTCAGACAGGAAGAAATTTGTACAGCCTTTATCCCTGCCTTGGTCAGGGAGAACTTAATGAACGACCATACTTATGAATGTTAAAATGTACTTCCCCTTTTTATTTTATTTCATTTTATCATCCTTTTCACACTACTAATATATTCATATTGAACTCTTATTTATTCACCGCCTTCAACTTCCAGTATCACACAACCTTATTGTTCATCTTTGTTTTTCGATATTTGACCTACTTTGTCCATCTATCTGTCTGAACACCTTCTTACATTGTCGTATCGTTATCAACATTCGTACTAACCTTTTTATAATCCCTATTCCTGATTGTCATTGTCCAACAAATTACGTTGATTGGTTAATATTTTACAAATATGTTGGAAGTTATGTATATCAGAGTGAAGCCTGATGACATCTAATTGAAAACAATATTTTTCACTTACATGTCTTTTTGTAATTCAGGGAAGAAACAACTCAATTACTTGAATGGTTTGCATTCACTGAAAGTGATAAAATTTTAATACATTTATACAAATTAGTGGAATGAATTTACTCAGTGGTGAAAACAGCTAACTTTATAAGCTTTCTATATAGGCTCTCCAACCACTACGTTTTATCGTCTTGAGGACCTTAATCAAGTAATTTATAACTTCCTACACACCTCAGATCAACAGTAAGAAACCTCATTCATTGAAGTCACATCAAGATCTAGCCACCCTGAGCCCTCCAACGTAATCCAAATTCCCCCAGCATCTAGGTAGGCGGTGGTTCGGCATATACAACACTTGTCCAACAGTAACCTGTTGGCAGCAGAACCCGAAGGTCATGGGTGCGCACTACTGAGGATCCCCATAATAGGAAAAACCAGCTGTCCAGTGCTTTCAGGTTTAGAGACTAGAATTGCCTTAAATTTACTGGGTCCCTTACAAACTGTAATTGAAAATATGAGAAAAACACAAATGAATTGAAAAAAAAGTAATACTTACTTAATGAATGATTCAAAATTAGGTGAAGAATTGTTGATTATCACCCGAGTACGATGAGGATCTCTTTGAAAATACTCTTGAATAAGATTCCATAGTATTTCTAAAACAAAGAACATAGAATTAAATTTGTGCGATACAATGCACAACTAATTACGTTTACGGTCATCAATGAAAGGGGAATTTCTTAATAATTTGAAGATTGAGTAGATCCCGATACTGTATCCAGATGATCACAGGTTGGAACTTATCAAAGTTTCTTCGAACTCACAAAAATAGTTGTGGTTCACAGATTAATGCGGACCAACCTATACACATACTCATGTTACTGTGTCCACAAAAGCATTCTCCAGTCTTATCTCAACGCTTTTATCATTTTCCTTACCCTTGCCATTTCGATACTCAGTATATGGTACAGCGATGTGACTAGAAATCGATGTAAAAAGTTCATCATTTTGGTTAACTCTAAAGCCCACCTCAACAACTGCTGAGATAATCGATAAGAGTTATGTATTTTTTACAGAAAAACAACCTTTCCAGTGGAAATAAAGAAACTTAACGGGCAATTTCAGTCATTGCTAGAGTGACCTTTAAAGTCAACTATAATTTCCATTTAGTCATGAGTGATTCTAAAGCCTATTCTAGCGACTGCTAAGATAATCAGTTAGGTTTCTTGATTTTCTCTGGGACGGCAGTACTTTTCTATAAAATTTAGAAACTGTATTGGTTATTCCACTAGTTTTTAGAATGGTATTTAGAGCCACCTTCAGTGAAACGCTGTGTTACAGAAATAAACTCTACATTGATAACATAATTTATATCCGAATATAAGAAGAGTTAGAGTCAAATCACCATGGAGAGACTAAAACATGTTCCGAATCCAAAATTACGAACGGAACAGACTGGCTGGCTTCAGGAGGAACAAATCATGTGAAGATCAAATTGCAACCCTACGCTATGCATCATCATAGAATAGAGTATAGAATGACAGTCAACTCAACTCTAACTCAACTTCATCGATTTTGGAAAGGCCTTTGACAGCGTTGACCGAGAAGTAATTTGGCAGCCGCTGCTTCGACACGACGGTTTTTGTGACACAAGCCTTTATCAACCTCATTCAATAGCAGCTATATGCTACATGTCAAGTGATTCACAATGGAAAGCTCACGGACGCCTTTGAAGTGAAGACAGGAGACAGGAGTAAGACAAGGCTGCCGCCTACTATCACCCATCATATTCCTCATTGTGGTCGACTCCACTCGACTCGACTCGACTCGACTAGACTGGATGATGCAGCAGACAACTGTGAGGAGCTGTGAAAAGATGGTCATACGCTGTTTGACTGATGAAAAAAGGCCAAAGAAGAGCTGGATTTCGCCGCCGATGATGATTTATGTCTAATATCTTATGCCGTACAAACTCGAAGGTGTTCAGGTGAAAACCAACAAGTTGGCAAATGAGGCAGGACAGCCAAGGAAGATCGAAATTCATTCAGGTGAACGCGGAAAAGACACAGGTGATGAAGATACCCAACCACCACCACCACCACCACCAACAGCAACAACAACAACAAACACTAATCACCATCAATGGGAGAAATCGAAAGGAAGTTGTCTCTTTCACTTACCTACCTACCTACCTACCTAGACATCATCGTTCCAACTACCACAGGCGGCGGCGGCGGCGGTGGTGGCACGGATGAGGATGTCAAACCTAGGATCGAAACAGCAAGCAAAACAGGCCTTCCTGCATTAATCTGAAACCAATCAGTGTGGAGATCTACTGCACTGTACTCCACTCCAATACACTCGACTCGACTCGACTCAGTATAAAGCGTGAACAACATCCGGATTTCAACAATAATGTCAGTCAAGTAAGTCAGTGCTTCTATATGATGGTTGGGAGACTTAGCGCCTTACGAAAAGCATTCCCAACAAACTCCAGACATACATCACACCAACAGTTGCCGCCTACGCTCGCTCGCTCACTCACTCACTGGATACTGACATTGAAGATCAGAAGGCCAGAATAATAAGAATAAGCAAGGAAGAACTCTCGCTGGCTGGCTGGCTGGCTGGCTGGCTGGCTGGCTGGCTGGCTGGCTGGCTGGCTGGCTGGCTGGCTGGCTGGCTGGCTGGCTGGCTGGCTGGCTGGCTGGCTGGCTGGCTGGCTGGCTGGCTGGCTGGCTGGCTGGCTGGCTGGCTGGCAACGAACCAACCAACCAGGAAGCTATCGCCCAACAAATATGCTGAAGAAGAAAGTGGAGATGGATTGGATTGGATCGGATTGGACATACACTGAGAAGACCATTTGGGGACACCACGCTTCAGGCCAGACCAGACAGGCCGTTGAGTGTACGCCGAAGGGGAAACGATGAGTTGGGCGTCGCAGCTGAGGGTGGCATAGAGTAGACTATGTGAGGAAGAAATGAAAGGTTATGGGCATTCGTGGAGCTAAGTTTAAAAGACTGCAGAGAAGAGAGTGAAATGGCTACGTGTTCCTGAAGCCCTATATTCCACTAGGAACCCAAAGGATAAATGAGAAGAGTTATCGAGCTATAATACTTTCTCCGACCTGAAAACCTACTGTCTCAGGTTATCAGTTCAAACATATAAAAGTAGGTATAAGAGACAAAAAAGCCATAAGTTCACCAATCAGTAATGATATGCACACTCATACACTTAGAACCCTGAAAAAAATCAGACATTTGAATTCAATTTGGAGGTTTGTGGTGATTTATTGATCTCTAGGTGGTATTAATCGTGGACTGACATCAGTTTGAGAACTAATAAGAACCTGTGAACACTAGACAGCTGTTTTGTCCTAATATAGAACTCCTCAGCAGCGCATACAGATGGCTCCGCAAAGAATCGACCCCAGGACTTTCAGTGCCACTAGGTTTTCAATGACTCTCCAAATAATGTCACTCCATGATTAATACCAACTTGAAAACGATCAATAAAATCCCCACAAACGTCCCAATTGAATTACGGTTTAGTGCCCATTTATAACTTACTTCGAGATGAGATCATCGAATTTTGAATGAGAAGTCGTGACCGGTGGGACAAAACCAAGTCGAACGTCAGGAGTTACTCAACAACAGCAGTAGATGAAGGTTACGCTTAATCGCGGACTGACAGAAGTAGGAAAATTTGGACCATTGAATTCCAACACTGGCTCAACGGTAACGTGCTCGCTCCCAGACCTGAAGGTCCTTGGTGGGGTCATGGGCCTGCACTACCGAGGTTTTCAATGGCCCTCCAAATGGCCTTAGTCCATGATGCATAACAACTTGAAATCAGACGTTTTATATCTTATTATCTCCCTTTAAAAACTAACGCCACAAAATAAATGTGATGAAGTAAAACAGAATATTCTTTGTTCGCTCAAAACAGATTGTCACAGAGGAGAGAAAGCGATTCTTATATACATTGTTTAGAAAAAAACAGATGCCAAATGACTTTTACTGTCATTAGGGTTTCAGCTGTTTACCGCATAGTGAGGAATCCATAGTTATATCATCTTGATAAGAGTTCACTTATTTATTACGCGTACTTATACATGACTGAGTAGGTCAGCTAGCAGTTGTGTAGTGTGCTTACTCCAGTTTTTATGTTCAACAGTGGAAGCAAATACTTATTTTATTAGAAATCAACTCAGCATTATAGTGTAAAAATGCAGTATGTGACACACCACATAAGAAACAAACATTACTCAGTAGTAACTATAAGACGTTAAATGAAGTCAGTTTTCTGACTCTATCGCTAGAGGGAATAAGATAAAGACGAAAGTATTTCCATCGAGTTGATGTGTAACGAATAAAACAACGAAATATGCTGTCATGGTTTCATTCCACTGGTAGACAACAACATCAACAACACAATCTTGAGACAGTTTACACTAACAACAATGTAACTATTCCAACAGAGTATTACAAACCCCAAAATACATGTAAATGAATGTATCTTTCATTATCACAGAACGGTTCAATGCATAAATTTCTAGTCCGTTACATGCTACATAAATTATACATATCTAAGGCCTACATTTATCTGTGTATCAAACCAAAAGGGGAAAGATACCATAGTAACAGACCACCTATATATATTCACAGAGAGATTTCAGTATTTTGCATAATAAGTATACATTTATCATTTTCAATCATATTTTTGTCTGTGAGGCGAATGAAGGTGTTTGGCAATAATGTACAAATGCAAACAATGATAGGATATGCAAGCCAACGCTTATATATACGCACATATCTGTTATAAATAAGGCAAAAAAGAAAAAGAAAAATCAAAGTCCCTCACCAAGTAGAAATGGTATGATTTTAAAGTGGTATCATTACTATGTGAAAAAGTGGAAGTATTAAACAAATCTGTACACTGTGAACAGAATGGTCAGCAAATAAATTACAATGCAAACTGAACAACCACATTGCATTGATAGTAGAATTGTTTTTCAACTACTAATTTCATCTTTTGTGTCAGGTGTTTCCATAAAACGAAGGTCGCAGATTATATTCTGTGAAACAATGAATGAATTGATCATCCATTTATACAATGAAATGATCCTTCTAAGCGCATTCATTTGATATGAACAAATTCGTCATGTCAACTTGTCAGTCAAGCCTATTGATCATTCAGTCCGACTTCTGCAGGTAGCGATAAACAGATCCCTTTAATTAACAATTCCGTTTCATAAATTCATATCACCCAGCTAATCCACAATCCACATCACGTTGAATCATTTTACCAACTGTTTATTACTTCCTAACATCTAGATACACTAGTGATTGACATGAATGCTTTGTAACTAGTCATGAAGCAACAATTCCTGTAAACCACATAGAAAATGGTCACCGTAGTAAAATCTTAATTAGATTCATCTTAACAGATAGCAGTGGAATCCAGGACACACGTTCCGCCCCACTTAAGACTCGTCAACTGGATGTACCTGCACCCCAGCACGGAGTGATGTTGTCCCCGTTGAGACTCGAACCTCGTGCCCATCGCTTCAAACACCTGGGCATTATCCACTAGGCCACCGGGACATGAGAAATAAATCTTGAGCAACGGGTGTCAGTTGTTGTTTGATAATTGTCTAACACAAATAGGGCGAAACGCGTATCTTGGATGCCACTACTAGTTACTAAGATGAATACAAGATTATGAATTCCCGACAGTATCGAGGCCGACCGATAGCTGCTACCTGGACGCGGTGGTCGGGCTTGCACACCACAATGACCCACGAGCTATGTTGGTGGAACACTCATTCCCTCGAGGTCCTACCACACCAGAAAGGTCTGTTGGATAGTGGTTAGACCAAAAGCAGTTACAGTCCTGGTGTAAATTACTACATGATGATGGAGGTCTGAGGGTGAAGTCGTACTGCTGCTAGCTGGATGCGATGTGACAGCAGCAAAGTGTTTCCCTCGGATAACCAGTAGTGCCATGCTGATACTGCCTTCTCAGTGGAAGGGGGGTTAGGAAGGGTCGGCCCCCAAAACAACACGCCTCACCATACCCCACGGTTTGCCTGGCCAGTGGTGTTGGTTTATTTGTCGTTTTTTTTTTACCATCCGGCCCCAAAACAACCATATACAAAAGGCTGGGTGTGACAGGCCTCAAGCAGATGTCCAATGGGTTCTACGATCACACAAATCTCTTTCAGGTAGCTTAAGATGAGTATTGAGGCATTCGCATAGCAGCCCATCTACCAATAGAGGTAGAGCAATTCGGTCCTGTACCAAACAATAAATTTTAGTTACCTTTATCATCCACATAACTCGGCTGTGATTGACACACGGACACGCCATTACTTTTAGAAGTAGCAGCAGTGCTGATTCATCAAATAAAAAGTTGAACGCGACAATTATATCTTTGTAATCCCATACTAGATATACAGCACAAAGTGACACAGTATTATTTACTTGATAACGTTTCGAGCATAAATATTAGTATTGTCTTTATGCTGAACTCATTGCGGTACAAACCCAAAGACATTGACCGAGAATGATTTTAAAAAGTCACAAGCAACTTGAATTCAACGAATGAGAATCACAAATTGATATGGAAGTTGTTTTTTTCCGTCATATGATCATGGCCAACCAAACTGTAGAACAATGACATGGTCAATTATATTATGGAAGTATGACTAAGAATAAAATTCATCTTAAGATTAAAAAAAACTTAATAACAGAACTCCATATCATTGAACAACTTACGTTTAGCTTCAATCAAACTGCTCATTTCTATTTCAGTATTCAAATAAGTGAACTCATGTATACTTTGATAAGTTGGCTCTAGATCAATATGCTTGTGGGGAACAAGTGTAGTGGTGGGTAATGTTAGTTGAGGTGATAATAGTAATGGGATGTGAAATGTCAGATTTCTACTTGATATAATCGACGAATTAAGCGGTGATGGCGGAGTACCACCAGATGATGACATATTACCAGCTGAACCAAGAGTAATAAGATGATGGTTATGATGTTGTATAAAATTATGCCATTGAGGAGGTGCTTCACTGATAAATGAACTTCGATTACGAGGTGGACAACAATGGCATAAAAATGTATGAAATCGAGTCCTACCACCAGCCAGAAACGGTGAATTAAGCGCTTGTTCAGCTGTTAACCGCTTGGACTAAAATTACAAAATGAAAATTGATTGTAAAAAGAAAAAAACTTTTCGTTATTTATGTTACATTTACACAGGAACAGAACCGTGAACGTCATAAGAGATTAGTGAGTGAAAACCATTGACTTATTTACCTTGGTTAAAAAAATAATGAAAATCGTAATAAAAAAAATGTGAACTATGCTAATGATAGAATTTTCCCAATGGTAGACAGATCAACATAAAATAGTCCACAACTCTACTCAACAACTTGAGTAGTAGGATCTGTAGATTTCGCTAGGCAGTCAAATCAAAGTGATCCGAACACCGGATGGCTGTTTCGATTGCTTGCGTCGAGTTCATCAGCAGTGTACCCGGATAAATGTGCAACGATTCAAGTTGCCATACCTGACGACAACAGCATAGCAATGAAACCAAGACAAGTTTGGAATAAAATATTTCAGTAATCAACAAGGATCGATTTTTAGTCATATATCACCGTAATAAAAGAAATGAAAGGTGCTTACATTTGAAGAAACAGATGGTAATGAGTCATGCTAAATAAAATTATCATTTTGATTATCTGAGGTAGCTGCTGTGGTTTGACAGACTAGTATTGTAACTGGGTGATGATTGAAAAGGAAGTGAAAATTTGGAAACCCAATGGTCGCTGGTTCCAATTTGGTCATAGTCCAAATTTTCATCTCACCTTTAATCACCACTCAGTATAAACACTAGTCTGCCAAACCACGGTTATCTTAGATAGTCAAAATGATAATCAATATGATGCCCCCTCTTTAATTCAGTTAGATTTGGATTGGGATGAGAAGTCCTGATTAGGCAGCCAGTGTGAATACGATCAAGCGGTAGTAACAGGTAACGAATTCACCCAGTAGTCGGGTAAAAGCCTTGTTAATTGAAGTGACATAAAAATCGGGCCTCGTAGCTCAGTTGGTAGAAAACTGAGCAGGAAACCCGGTGGCTGCTGGTTCGAATCCCACCACCACCCAAATTTTCACTTCACCTTTAGTCATCCGGACAGTTGGGCAGCGATACTAAGTCCCATGTTGATGTGGACTGAATGGCTGGTACCTCAAATTATTTGCAAAAAAGACATATGTTATCTCTCTTTTTTCTAAACAACAAAAATTCCAACTTTTCACTTACCGCACCAAAACTTAGCAGTCGTGTAAACAAAGCAACCAAATCGGGATCCGGAAGACATCTAGTAGATGACTGAAAATACTGAGTATTAGCTGGAACAAGTAAACGTGAAAGAGCAGCATGATTTAATGGCCGTATTGGACGCTGGAAAATGAAATCTATGCTGGAGGATGGGAAACCGATTAAGTCAACCAATTCCATTGTGGTTGGCGAGCCCAAAAGGTCAAATATCATGTCCAGTTGACGAAAGGAGCTAGAGGACTTGAATGGACAGCAAATTACATGACAAATTAGAAAATAAAGAGAATTTTTCTGAAACAGATACGAAACCATTTATTGCTAAATATCTTGATAGAGAATTACCGTAGGGATATCCATGTTGTTGCAGTTAGTTCTGACAAAGTGTGATTATTATTATTATTATTATTATTATTATTATTGTTATCATTATCATTACTAGAACACAAACGTGATACAGCAAGGGAGGCAAGAGATGCGCCACAAAAAACAATACAAAGCTATCTTGAAGATATAAAGCGAAGGGAAGTGAAGAAGAAAGAAAAACACAAGATCAGAATGATTAAAAGACCAGTCCAGCAAGGTACACTCGATACGAAACACTCGTTATTTTTTAGCAGCAGAAGATAGGGGGAAGCTACAACATGACCGTCACTGGTTTCGATTCTGAACCTTATCTGATAACGTCTCAAACCACTGAGTTGCATGATCTCTCGGACCCAACTCAAAGAGTCGTGATGCATCAACAGGTGCTAAACCGATACAACTATCCTTCATCCCACGGCGCCACGACATAGACTGACCACCCCTCTGCTTCTTTCATCCAGTCACACGGTTAGCGAACAATGAGGTGTGGAAGCCGTTGGGGACAACATGTGTAATACATGTCCGAGCCACCGAACCAGGTGTTTCCAGACGACTTCACTCATTGAATGACGATCTTCATCATGCCTAAACACACGATGTCGTACCTCAGAATTACTTACATGGTGTTGCCACCGGATACGACAGTCCTACGGAGACAATGATGATCGAATACACAGAATCGTCGCACATCCTCATTTTGAAGAGACCAAGTTTTACAGGCGTAGAGCAGAACTGCTCACATCGAAGCGTTGTAAACGCGACCTTTTACGGTCAGACTAACATCGCGGTGGCGCAAAAGGTGGCCCATACTGACGTACGCCACTCTGGCTTTGGACTTGCGGTTGGAAATTTCACCACTCATACCTCCACCAGCATTCACATAACTACCCAGGTACATGAACTTTTCGACTAGTTCCAACGGATCACCCACCAAGGGTGAGCCCAAGCACAGGCTACTGCCAATCTTGCAAGAGTACTTTGAACTTTAATGGTCCAAAGCATATACCATACTTACGGACACTGACAAAGTGTGAAGCTGTGGCTATCGTTCTAGGCACTTGACTTTCAACTGATAAGCCAAGGTTTTGAGCCCTGCTCCACTTACTGAGGTCTGAACAGACACAGTATACTAAGCTCACACGCAGTAGGTGCGGCTCACTACCTACTTTATAAACGTGCATATGGTTACTAAATGCACTTCAATGTGTTTTCCGATTTTGTACTGTCAAATAACCACACCTTGTCTTGTGAACACACAAACGAAAGTAAATGACAAAAGTGAACAAGCATGCGCACTAGGCAATGGACTATACCTATTTTGTGTGAGGGCTAGTGAAACTATTTTGTTGGCGAACGAGATTTAAATGAATTAACAGTTGATTTCTTTTCTTACTATTATATCCAGAATAATCTTACATATGTGAATTCAGAAGGAGGATGAGGTGAAATGCTACATACAGCCTGTTATCAGGTATATTTCTAAAGTTTCGTGTGCAAGTACGGTCTTGGAATCTTCAAGTGAATAATCAAAACTAGAATGTCAAATATATATGAATAAGGTATTTAAAAAACGTGTACTGGAACATTCGGGACCCAATACTTGTGATACTATTCGACTAACCCTTGAAAGTGTTGCTTAAAAGAAACAGTTTATCGCATGAAAAAACAGACCCTAGCAAAAGGATGTCACCGAATTTAAGTTATCACTAAGAATTCAGGCGAAAAGAATATAGAAGTAGCAAATAATAAGCAAAAGGATAACAAAAAGGGGAACTGAAATCATGCTCCAGTTATCTATTAAAAGCTATGCAACCTATTAAAGTAGGTGACGTTTACAGTAATTATTTTATCCGGCATTTAGAACCTAAGCCTTTATTTTTTCACACCCATAGCTACATGAAGATTAATCCCTACTAGTACTACATTGTGGCACACTTTTTAAGTGGAAGCAACCGTTTTGTTTTCTTGAATAAAGGACAGACATTCTTACAACTAAACAGTGGACCGTCTGATTGCATTCCATACACTTCTAATTATTAGTAACTAATTAGGTAAACACACCTGCTTTCCAGTGATCATCGACGTGGCCAGAGATCTATTGTTCTGCTTTCTACAAGATTCTTATGCTAATTATATACACGGAGTAAGTGCTTGATAATTCGAAGAGAGAAAATCTAAGTATACAGGAAACCTATGCTACAACTTTTCGTTGTTAAAGGAAAAAACAATTAAAACTGATAAAATAACAAACATATTTACAGTAACCTGTTTGGTAAGCTATTGAAGCAGACTAAATGTATTTAATTCTTAAAAACCACTTTAACTGAGTACAAAGGCCTATTTACTAGATTCTGAAGTACATTTACTGATTAGCGGATGGAATTAATATATAGCCTCATGGTGAATATTTGCATTGCAGTGGGGTATAGGGAGTAATGGACTCTGCTGACAGGTGGATACTTTCAATAATGATTAATAATTCACAAATTAAGTTTTGAACACAATCACGATCTTGACTTAGCAACTAAACAAAAGGTATGAGAATTCACATAAGCATTTTAGGCAGGTTTTTACAAAAAGTACTAAAAGTAATTAATTAACTAGCCAACCTGAAAAAGAATTCGACGACACAGGAGTTCACCCAATATACAACCAACACTCCACAGGTCAACAGCAGATGTATAAAAACTCGATCCTAACAGCAACTCCGGTGGTCTATAGAACTGAGTGACAACTTCAAGAGTCAAAGGATTGCAGGAGACTTCAGTATCAACAGATGGTACAGAACGAGCCAGACCGAAATCACAAATCTGTATTAAAGAAAAAATCATAAACGTCTGTCATTCGGAATAGAACAACGCAGCGTAATAATATATAACCTGAGTGCATAAACTATAATAAAGCTCAGCCAAGCAAATGACAAAAAACTTCCCGAGTAAATACCATAGTATTTATCAGTTCTTTAAAACACTGAGTCTATGCAGATTGTAGCCTTAACCGAAAAGCCTTCGATGTGTTGTAAAGTCTTAAATCGAGACATGCTGATCAAAATAGGACAAAAGTGAATCAGTTCAAAATACCACACTTAACAATAGTATGTAGAGAAGTAGATAGAAAAAATAACTGGGCATAAGTGCAAAAAAGGAAGAATCAATCAATCAAGGTTAGTAAAAGTGGCTAAGTTTTCGATGACCCATATACATCTGCCCCAATGTGACCAATTTCGAGCAATAGCACACAAGGTCTCCAACTACTGATTTTTATCGTCTCAAGAACCCGAAGTAGGCAGCTGGTACATCACTACATGACTCAGATTAACAGTCAAAGACTTAATGATACGGCACTATGCCTTGATCTGGCTACCCTAGGCCTTTTTCGAACCCAATCTTACTTTGGTTAACATTATGTCCTGTGGGCTATAGCTTGACAGATGCAAAGCATGTCCAAGCCACCTCAGTGGGTGAAGGTTTCTAGTTTCGTCAACTGATTTGCCTCCCTTCCCAGAATTCTATGCCTAGAATCAACATTCCTCACATAGTGACTCCACTATACACAAGCTATAGTAAGAAGACATGTGACTAAAAATACGTAACCTTTTCACAACTGCTCCTAAGAAGTATGTGATAGCAGTTTCAGAATTCCCAAAAAATAGACTTACAGGTTATTTTACTTGAAACTGTCAAACCAAAACAAAATTGTCGCCCAGATTCAGACTTCACGCCAATGGTGAAATGATAATACTGTGTTAACGGAGTGTGACAGCAGTATTACTTCACCAGAGGATCCCCGTCCCAGCGAATGAATTTACGCTGTGCAGGTAACTGCTTTCGATATTAAAAAGGGAAGATCCTAAAAACAGTGTACTCATACTACAGCATATAGCGAAATTCGTCTGGTAAGTAGTTTTGTGTATGGAAACTGCTTATGGTTGTCTAGTTGCATCCACTTTATCCAAATCTTCGATATGCAGTGATCTCACTTCGTCAGATACCTTTTTAAGAAATATCTCATGATTATATCTCACTTAAAATGAGAACTCACAACGTGGACACCATGAGATCCTCCATACAAGACAATATAGCAACACTAAGAAGGCAAAAGTGTGAGGTGGTACAAGAAAAGAAAAGGGAACAAAAACAAAAGTGGTTTATCACAAAGGTAGTCTCAAAGATCCATCACAAGAAGTAATCACTACACTCGTTTCACTTTTCTGCTACAGTAGGAGCAAAAAAGCTGAGGTATGATCACCGTTGGTTTCGATTTCGAGTTATATCTGCTATCTTCTCAACTCACTGAGTTGCGTTACCTCTTTATCCCCATCCATGGAGTCGTGAGACACCTACAACTGCTAATCCAACACAAATATTCTTCATCCTATGGCATCATTTCACACTCTGGAAGTCTATCTGTTTCTTTCAAACAGTTCCAGTGTCAGCAAATTGTCAGTGATGTGAGAGCTTCCGGGACGACATGTGTAACAAATGTGCGGGTCATTAAACCCAGTGTTCTAGGATGATCACACTCTATGAATGACGACCTATATCACCACCAACCAGAGGCTACTTACATAGTGTTTCCACTGGATGCAACTGACCCTCCGCAGACAGTGGTAGTGGAAAGGCCAGAATCCTTAGACATATCCATTCATCAAAGATCAACTTTTAGAGGCGCACAGTAAAACTCCCAGCACCGATGCGTTGTCGTATACCCAGCTTTTTACACCAGGGTTAACGTCAAAATGGTACGAACGGTAACTCGGACTGGTGTATGCTACTCTTTCTTTCGATGTATGGTTGTTAACCCCCTCAGTTACACCTTAAACAACTCACAAAACTATTCGGGTACAAAATCTTTTCAACAGCTTCCAACAGTTCATTACCAAGATTGATTGCAAGTACAGGCTCCTACTAATTTTGTGGATGCCTTTTGCATTCTGACGGCACAAAACACATACTTTACTTATGGAAGCTGATTGGTAACTGACTGAGTGCAATTTGAGTAGCCTGTATTTGATGTCGGTATACTCGAGGTCGAAAAGTCTCTGACTACGTAACAGGTATACATCACCACCACACCTACTTTACAACTGTCTTGAGAACATCAATGATGGAAGTTTGAGAGGAATGCTGAAACTAGGCACCCCAGCCCTACTACATTGTTGGTTTGGAGCAATGAAGAGATGTGGACGTACCCCACTTACCCTAGCTGAGGTGTTAAAGTAGAACTCTCAGGTTGTTACTAGACTTCTAGGAAAAAATTCTAGAGTAAGATTGTGTTCAGCCAATCAAAATCCCTAATACCTATGAATGCAACGGTTGTTTACTTGAACAGCCCATGATGGTGTTGAAACATCTGGTGAAGGATGTACATATGACCAATGAACGAAATCTGGCGAAATCACGTGTTTCACATAGCTTGTGAAGAACGATAACAACCAACACTTTAAACACTAATGATTGCAGATCGATACTTCTCATCATCATTAACACCAGGCTTTACGGCGTAACGGTCCCAGTTGCCAGATTTCATATCAGCACATCAAGTAACAAGGAAATAAAAAGAAAGATGAAGAAGGAAAATCGGTCACAAGGAGTAGAAGGTAGTAAAACAGAGGAGGGAGGAATGAGATTACGCCATTAAGCATAGCGGTTAAGATGGGGCTAATGTATGTATACATCTGCCCCACTGATATCGGTTCTGAGCCATGTGATCAGCTAGAGTCTCCAACCACTTGTTTCTCTTGTCCCGTGGACCCCAATCAGCTAGTTTGCATAGCCCTACATGGCTCAAACGAACAGTCAATGACTTCATACATTGATCTCATGTTTTAGTCTGGCCATCCAGAACCTCGTTCCAGCCTGAACCAACTGCGGCCAACATTGTGTGACGAGGCAGATGGTGGCTAGGCATACGTAACACATGTCCCAGTCATCTCAGTTGATGGAGGCTCACAACCACATCAACTATCTTACCTCTTCTCCATAGAGCTTTTCGCCTGAATTTTGCGTTATTCACGTGGTGACACCACGAAACACGGTCTATGATACAAAGGTAACGGTGGTAAAACACCTGAAGCCCTCGCATGTCTTCTGCCTTTAATGGCCATGTTTTGCAGCCATACAGCAGAACAGAGTGGACTGCAGCACAGTACACTCGACCCTTGGCAAACAACCGGATATCGCAGGGGTGCCACAGATGGCACAAGTTGGCAAAAGCCAGCCGAGCGTTTTGTACCCGTCCAGAGATTTCGTCGGTCATTGAGGCACTAGGGCTGATCCGACTTACCAGGTAAGTGAAGTGTTCAACCCACTCCACCACTTCACTGTCTATTGTTGGTCAGGGTGCCGTCGAAGACCAGCTCTGCAACAATTTGCACTTGGGTGACGAGAAACGCATCCCAAACATCTTCAAATTGCCACTCAAGGTGTCCAGAAGACCCAGCATCTTTTCAGCGTCTTTATCTAATAGGACTATGTCTTCCGCATAATCTAGGTCTACCGAAAATTGCCCTGTGATTAGGTCACTTTCTATGTAGTCAGATGACGAGAGAGAAACCTCCATAAGAGCATCTATGACAAGATTGAATAAGAATGGAGATAGTGAGCATCCTCGATGTATACCACTCGACGTACACAGTTCACCCGACATCTCACCATAAACTCTAACACGCTGACAGGTGTCCGAGTAGAGCCTTCAATAAGGTGATGTACATACTCGGTACCCCTTTTAGCTAGACAGTGCCATAAAACTCCTCGATGGAACTTTCAGTTCACCATGGACCTCCGTTTCGGTCTGTGTCAACCTTAGAGCACAAAACACTTGAATAGTAGGTCAAATGCACTGCTTTTTGAAGTGCTCTCCCTAGCGTTCCACATGTATACGAAGTTTGATAATCGTCTTACCACTTAACTGATACCGGGCTTATTGCTGTCAAAGGCCTGGGTGAGCTGGAAAAGCTTCTGAGTGTGGTCAGATGCTGCTTATGTCTCCAATTCATTCACTCTTTCTAAGGAGCAGGCTTCATCATCCTTACCCAAATCCTGATTGGTGTGTCGTACAAGGGAATAATGTATAATATTTTATTTGTTAGCTGCCGAAATATATTAACGAATATCAAGAGATTATAACGAGCTCACAGAAACCCAGTCTCTATTAGTTAGAAATTCGTAAAAGCTAAAAACAGATCTACTTACCATTTTAATGGTATCTTGTCGGTGCAGCCAACAATCATTTACACCTTTTTGGAGGTTCTACAGCTAGCTTTGAATCTAGCTAAGTTTGATATTTAACTACATTAATAGGTGAAACGAAGTTACTTACGTCGACCAGTTTAGGATAACGATTTTCATGATTAACAAAGCGTAAGACGAACTTGCCACATAATATAGCCCAATCAGAGTTCATATGAATGCAGCAGTTCCGAATACATCCACCACATTGGTAGCTGATTCTAGTATCATCTAATTGAATTCAAGCATGAATACCAGAGGGAGAATAACTCGTATCACAAAAGCAATGATTGCATCAGAATTTAGAGTTGGTGAGAAATCAGCTGTGGTCTGCTAAAAGCTGCAGAAGGCGCTCCCCATTGTATAATCTGTAACTGACTAATCCTTATCGATCATCTAAACGACTCTCCTCTGGACCAAGACACATTCAAGTACCCATCTATCACAAAGATATATGTCAAGTGCATGTGATAGAGAAAACCAGTTTATGGTAGAACTAATCCCTAACAGTATACACGCCCAGTTAATGGGTTATGGACAGAGATGAAGACACATAGATGCAAATAAAACAGTTTAATCAT